AATATTACACAGATTAGCATGGGGCCCCTTCTGCTCATGGGGGCCCCTGGGTACGTGCCCATGCATTAAAGACAGCACTGGCCCCTATGCTGTTGATCTCAGGGGAGTTTCCTGGCATAGCTGTGTTGATTATTCAGTAGTTTTGAATGACTGTGTCTTTTAGACCATGAAGTATGTTGAATATATGGTGCCAACCCCTTATTTTCAGACCAGTTGGTATTCAATGAGTGATGTGTTGAGTATGCAAGTTTCAGAAATTGCTTGGAACTCCCCTGTGGGTGGATCAACTTGGGAGCCTGGATCACTGACAAAATCCCACCTTGAAAGGGTTGGACTGAGGACTGCAAGGCAAGAGTGCTGATCAGTGCAGCACCATATTTCACCACAGATGGTGTGGGTATTCATTCACTAGTGTATCTGTTTATGTGGTTAAATTGCTAAAAGACAGACTGCTTGCTATGTGCCATCAATGTTCTGGTGTGTTTTATATCAGAGATCTTCCATTTAACCCAATATCAGTTTTTGTGTGGGTTTTTCTGTCTTTCTGTAACAGATACTGTAAGAAATGAAGAGTGAATTGTGGTTCAAGAAATATTGATAAAACATTGAAGATGAAAGCCTGATTCAAGGGATGCTAAAAGTGTGAAATAAAATCAGCTGTTTATTTGTATTATTAAATTCTATTTCCTTGTTACTTTAGATCTGGATTGAACTGGGTATCAGTCTCTGTGCAGCAGCAGTGGCTGTTCTACCACTTTGTGCCACTTGATAGCAACCTTGTTCTCAAATGACCCATGTATATGTATTCTATTTATTATATATTTGTAACTGGCTTATTCATAATACCAGAACAGTGTCATGTAAGTAAACTTGTATCTATTGTACTGTGTCAGTAATGCTATTCATATATTCCAACAACAACAACTACACAACAGAATCATAATGGTGCTAGAAAGCAGAAAGTAATCACCATGTCTATGTCTGACCCATATTTTCATCATGTAAATAGACGATGTCCTAAGTCTGTGAGATATTTTGTCATAATATTGCTCCTGTGTCCTGTGATTGTAACAGCCTTGACCTTTTAGCTTTATTGGCATGTATGCATCAGGTTGATTCTACAGACGAGGGGATGTTTTATCTCCGCTTTGACTGTCCTCATAGCTGCTTTGTGTATATCTGTCAAATTATCAAAATCTCGGTTTTATTTGTTTCTGAGTCAACCACAAGCATTTCTTACACTGGATATAAATCACTTCATGTGGCATGCAGTGGGAAGCCTCACTTCTGATGAAGATGAAACTGAACTGAAATATGTTTTTTCGAATCAGTTCTTTTTAAAACTGCTTTCCTGGTCACTGTCATTCTGAAATGCTTATTGTTTTTTGTTTTATCACATGGTCAGGGCAGGTCATAAGTCTACATGTAGTGACTACAAATAGCCACTTACCAAGTGCCTACACACAGCATTCAAAAATAGCCATTGTGTCCAGAAGTAGTGACAGGCCATATGCCTACCTGTAATGGTCCAAAAGTGACAAGCCATATACCTGCTTATAGTGTCTGAAGTGACAGACCATGTGTCTATGCAGTGTCCAGAAGTGACAGATCATGTGCCTATATGTAGTGTTTGGAAGTGACAGGCCATGTGCCTGCATAAAGTGACTGGCCATGTGCTTTCATTCAATTTCCAGATGTAGCCACTAGCAGTATGTCTGCATGTAATGTGCACAAGTGACAGACCATGTGCCTACTTGTAGTATAAAGAAGTGAAGCCTACAGTGCTAATCTCTGAGCAGACAATACAGAGGGCCGACATGAATGTTGCTGATGTATCTCATGCATGAATGTCTGTGTTGATCATCCTCATGACGTGATGTCCTGTGCTTGTTTGTGCTTAACAACCTCTGACCATATGTCCTGTGCTTGTTGTGCCATGTTTTATCTAGCAACGATATCCTCGTCAGCTTTAGTTTTATTTACCTTTGTCCAATAACAGTTTTATCACCCACCCCTCCTCCTATCACAGTTTATAACTTATCCAAGCCAACGGTTATCATTGTATCTTTCAATTACCGTTTTATCTCCTTGTTATTGATGCCCTTAGAGCAGTTTGATCTGTTTTTGTTTTACAATAAAATCAGTCTACCAATACAAAAAAAAACCTGCAGCATTAGAATTATCTCATTTTGTTGGGTTACCTTCCCGTCCACAGATTCAGTGTCCAGTCTACAGAATGCCAGATCAAACCATGTTTGATCATCTCAGCAGTATGCGGCCTTCTAGTCCTATCTTTCCTCTTCTACTCTGGAGTTCAAAAAGTACTTTACAATCTTGCTTAGTCTTTCCTCTTATGTAGATGTAGTTTTAAGTTTTGTGTTATTTTGACACATCCACACATATGCATACACCTGGGACTGTTTTCAAGAACAAAAGGTGCTAGTATTCACCATCACAAAGTGTTTAAATGGTTTCTGTATTACAGTAGAGCTGAAAAAAAAAATACCTTACAAAAGGCATAGGTTCTACATCCCATGAGAAGAATAAGCCCTCTCTATACACCCACACATGGACTATCTAGTGAGTTTGCTGGAAAACTGTATCTTATGCAGGTGTTCCACAACTGTTGTAGTGTGAGCTTATGCTGTACCATGTGGACATCTGCCTTACAGAACTGATATTGTGAAACATGGTCATCTTGATAATGTATAATGACACTCAGTGGATGGTGGGGTCACCTTTAAGATGTATGACACACACTGTGGTGTGGTCACCTTGAAGATGTATAATGATACTCACTGGGTGGTGTGATCACCTTGAAGATGTATAATGACACTTACAGGGTGGTGTGGTCACCATGAAGATGTATAATGACACTTACAGGGTGGTGTGGTCACCTTGAAGATGTATATTGATACTCACGATGTGGTCACCTTGAAGATGAATAATGACACTTACAGGGTGGTGTGGTCACCATGAAGATGTATGACACTTACTGGGTGGTGTGGTCACCTTGAAGATGTATAATAACACTCACTGGGTGGTGTGGTCACTTTTAAAATGTATAATGACACTCAGTATGTGGTGTGATCTCTTAGAAGATGTATAATGAGACTCAGCAGATGGTGTGTGTGTCTGTGTGCACACTTTCAGCCATCTGTTGCTAGATAAGTGTTTGAGCATCAGGGTTATTTTCTTAGGAGAAGATTCACAACACTAACATAACTGCAAGTCTATCAGAAAGTAAGGAACATGCTGTGCCTTAGTGGCCAGCTTTCTCAGAAATTCTTAGAAACAGCTTATTAACAAGACCAACCTGTTGGTAAGTCTTATAAATGGTTCTTTTTTTCTTAAGTCATCATCCACAAAGGCCCTTTCAGCAAAACTATGGAGGAAAACTGACCTTACAGTCATGCACAGTGAAGATGTTAGTAAAACGTATTTTGCTAGGACTTCTGCAAGATTTCATCTATAGAGTTTAATTACTGTGTTAGGTTTGAGGTTTGAACAACAGATCAATATCATGGCACACGAGTAGTAACCCATAAATGCTCCGTTCTACTTCTAACTAAAGTCTGAGTCTGAAGTAGCCCAGCACAGTGCACAGGCTCCGTAGCACCGGCAAGGATCCTGAAATATTTTGGGTAGATTTTTAGCTCAAATTTTGCCTGAGCAGCACTGTTGGGCTACTCTTTTTGATTTCCAACTTCCAAGGGATTTTTTTTAACGTGTGCAACAATACACACAGGCGTCTGATCTCACTAACCAGAGACCAGGGGAAATTACTAGAAGTCCACGTGAAGGGGGAAAAATCCCAGCCTTCACCAGGGCTTGAACTCAGGACCTCTAGCACTCGAGGCTGACACCATACCTTGTGACCACGCATCCCCCAAGTGTTAATTGATATGTGCACCTCTGTGCCTTAAGAGTTTAGTGAAATGGTTTCAAAATGGGTAGCTTAGAAAAAAAATCTGCTCTCACAGCATTCAGACAAGTTAAGAGAGTCACACCATGAAGAGATTAAGGTGTCAGCACATTCAAATAGTTTGCAGTGAATACACTGCATCAACCTCCAATCTGGAGACACAATTGTTTGTGTTGTTGCTGATGAAGGTAGACCTGTTTTAATATCACATGTATCCTTACTGCATTGTTACTGGTCCCACCTATGGCTGTATGCCACAGCAGCAGTTCCATCCACATCTCCTGTTATTTGAATCTCCCACCATTGTCTGATCTGGACAAGAAGTCTTGTAAGGGGGAGCTAATACTGATAATTCCCTTACAGAAACCAGCATAGTTTTCCTTCACTTGTGTTTTGATTTGATACTTTTATTTAGACACAAATAAAGTGTTGGTTAGATAAGCTACCTCACAGACTTGTTTTTATTTTTAATCCATCTACTGTTTTTTTTCTGTCCATTTCTAATTATTTGCGCTTGCACCAAAATTTTGATGATTTCTTCTTTACGCTAGTGTTTACCCTTTTCTAATATTATTCATGTTTTTAAAAGAAAAATAACATGTTCCCTACTTCTTAAATTAAAGAGTAACACACTCAGTCAAGTCAATGTTAGAGACAGAATAAAAAATTCCCCTATTCCAATGTTAGAGAAAAACACACTGCTCTACTCCGATGTGTTTTTAAATTCCTTGCCCAGAAGGGACTCTAACAAATTACCTTTGAGCTGGGGTGGTAGAATGCTATTCACAGCACCATTATGGTTAACTGAAATAAATGTTCACAGTAACAATGACTTCTTTATTGATAATTGTACTCTACTGAGTGCATCAGTAACCAGTCAAATCAGAGAGACATAACGGACACTAGAGAAATCAAATGTAAACATACAACTTTTAATTCATCAATCATTATAGCACCATTACAGAAGGACAAGTTTACTTTGACGCCGAACAAACAAGGTGTAAGTTCATACGTATATTTTCTGATTATTTTCATCCTCTGAATAAATAATAATACTGAACAGAAGGTGACATTTTCACGGGCCACTTATCTGCTTCAGGAAGTGATAAAGCAGTCGATGCCAGGCTTCTGGGTTGTCCAGGTAACATGGGTGGCTGGCTCCTTCTATGGGAGCATAGATGCTGTTTGGTAGCTTCCTGAGATCTGCAGTACTTTCCTTACCATTGACAGTGTCATTGGTGCCAACCACAATGAGAGTTGGAATCTGTAGGATGGTTGATAAAGTCTATAAAGATCATGTGGGAACATTTATCTAAATAAATTTTCAAACTGGTTGGTAATTGGATGAACAAATCAACATCAGATGCAGTAAAGCAAATCAAGCATTGGGACACTAGTTTTCCTTTAACAATGAAACATCTCATACAAAGCATATTCATTCCCACTCTACGCTACCAGTGCCAGACATGGTCACTCACAACAGACCAGAAGAGACAATTAGTAACCATAGAAATAAGATGCCCGAGGAGTGATCAGCAGAGGTAAAATCAAGAATGAGGTCAGAAGAGAAACATTTAGCACAGAACCAATTTTAAATTACAAAGACAGCAAATCAAATGGTTTGCCAGCATAAAGAGATTGCCTTGTGATGCTACAGCACACAATGCATACGCCAAAAGAGGAGAAGGACAACAAGCACAAGGTAGACCAAGAACAAGATGGAAAGATAACCCCAAAGAAACTCTACAACAGCACAATGTGTCACTGCTGAGGTAGCCAGAAAAGCAAGATAAAACCTCGTATCTCCCTCGACAGCCAAAGTGGTAAATAAAGTGAAGAAGAAGAAAAACAAGTTAATGGTGATACATGTGTCAAGTCAAGGTCAGCAAGGACTGTTTTTATCCAATGGTGTGTTGGGTATATGATGCCAGACTCATATTTTATGTAGACCAATCAGCACTCAGTATGTGATGTGGTCAGCATCACACCAGTCCAACTTTGCTTCCCAGGACATTACCTGCTACCAATTCTAGGCTGGATCGACCAAGTTTTAAATTTGTTTTGATGCAGATATAAATCCCAAACAGGTTAAGGAAATCCTGCAGGATATGATGTGAAAGAATGACAAATCTACTATGCAGTTACATGACAAGGTAAGTAGACTGACGATTTTCAATAGAAATCTTTAGAGCCCTGTTATCTAGAAAGGGTCTGCCTCTGAGCTGCATCTTTGAAGAAAATCTTTCAACCACTGCGTGATTAATTAGGACTTCAGCATGACTTCAGCACTGGAGAGTCAGTGCTCTACCAACTGTGCTACCAGAGGCTAAAATATCAAGCCTAATGCTCTGTATGTCAAACAGTGGTTTCAACAACCTTCCTAAATGTACCATTTTAGAGTGGGCCCAGTGCTGAGACTCTACTAATTTAGATTTCGTTAAAGTAAAAAAAAGTATGTGGTTCATATTCCATTCCAGTATCTATGCAAGTCCCTACTTATGATTTGTGTGTTATTATGTTCAGCTATAAGTCATCTGATTCCAATTCCAATAAAAAATAAAATAAAAAACTCAACCACGTTCACCTGCTTCTAGCTACCTGAAGCTGTCAACAATCTGTATAAGGCTGTATTTGTGGTCTTGTTTATTTGCACCACTTTCGTGGCTAAAGTTCTGATTTTTGCGCTGTCTCTGGGCTTAATGCTTCTTTCCTCCAAGTCAGACCCTTCATTCCTTATCCTGCTGTCAACTGTGTTCTTCTTGCCCTTTCATTTCTGATGTTTCCTCCTTGGTTTGAGCTCCTTCTGATCTGGCCAGGTTTATATCCTAGGAGAGCAAGCTTCTCAACATAACAAGCAAGATGCTTCAAATTACAACTACCAGTCATATCTGACATTTCAGTTTGTAAAAAAGGCATTATTTCAGCACATACAGTACAATTTGAAGAGAAATGATCTGCCTGATGATCATACCTGACTTTTCTTGAACTGATCAACAAACTTTGATGTCAGGACTGGAGCTACAGGAACATAAGCCACTGCTCGATCTGTGCTAGTAGTGGGATCATCGAACAAGTAGGGCAGGGAGAATTCTCCACTCATGGATGGCGACACAATCACAGGGCGTTTGAGTTTCAGAACCGAGATCAGACATCCCAAAAAATCTGCATTATGCTCCACTTCCAGTGTGTTTATGCTTCGACCATAACCTTGAGTAAGTAAAGAAAAAGCAGAGAATTCTGGAGGAAATGGTTTTGTAGAAGAATGCTGACAAATCTGGCATAGAAAATTCAAGTGTAATAAAGAGGTTCTGACACAGGCCAAGATATAATGATTAAATAACAGAAACAAGCATTACTATTTGACCACATTATTAGAAAACCATACTGAGATATGCTGCTGTCAGAGGTAGCTCTAATGGAGGGCAGTATGCATTTCCATAACTAATATTAGTGTGTAGGTCACTTGCTAGGCTCCTGCTGGCTGAATCTGATCTGCAGGTCTCCAGCTGAATAGCCTTGCTCTATGATCTTCCTTGCAATCTGCATACAGGAAGTAAGACTGACCCACTTGTTGTAAAAGTGTGACACGTTGATCTTTTAGAGTTTCATTAATATGTGTAATGCACCCTAAAGATGAAGATAATAAAAAAAAAAAAATAGAAGGTGAAATAGTAGAAAAATATGAAGATGATAAAGAAGAAGATAAAAATTGAGTTAAAAAGCTTTGTTCAGTTCTGATTTGTAATATGTTCAGGAGATTTAACATAAATAAATCACCTGAATGACATACACACCTGGCAAGTCAACAGCCACAGCCCTGTAGCCCCAGTTTGCTAAATGGTGCAGGGATCCTATGTCCAGCCAGTTCTTAGAGGAAAACCTCATTCCATGGAGGAAGAGGACATCAAGCAAAGACTCACCATCTTTCCTTCTCACTTCCTCTGTATAAATCTTTATAGTCTGGGAGTAACATAACAGCAAAATCACAAATCTGGTATTGTGGGTAAAATGTGTTTTCTGATGGCTGACTGAAGAATCAACATCATAACATATCCATAGATGATCCATCTCCTATAGCAAATGTCTTAATGTATAGATACTAACTGTTCATGTAGCACACTGACTATAATTATATACACATCCTTCTCTTCCTCTCATTCGTCCCTCCTTGCCGGATTCATTCTTAATTATGGCTTCACACATTCTTACACATGTTATTTTATCAAACCTCATGTCTTCTATAAAAATTTGTTCATAAATGGTCTTCAGAATGTCTCCTTTGTTTAGTGTTTCTGAATCTTTCACCTTTGCTGCCCAAAAAATCTGCTCTTCCATTCTCTGGCACTCTTGCATATCCCGGACAGTATATCATCTCTAAATCCATCCTCATGCTTGAAGTTTTCAACAAAAAAGCACCTTTTTTGTTTTGCCAGGATCTTTCCCTCTGTCAATGAACACCCCCCCCCCCCCCTCCCCCCCTTTTTTTCCACCCAGCCAAATCTGTCATCCTGATGAACAGAACCACTGGTGTACATACACTGTGTCATCTAGCCCAGTGTTCTCATCTATCTGTTGGTGTACCTCTAAATTCTGCCATACTATTAACCATTCTTTATGTTCTCTTTCTTATGTGGAGAATATGTTTTTAAAGATTAGGTAAAAGATAGAAATGACCCATGGCTATGCTGCTGTAACACAGAGAAAGGAATGGTAACCCAGATGTAATCACGAAGTCAGGAGAATGGCGTGTAACCAGATCTTGGGATTAAAATACACTTGGATGCTCAGATTACCATTTTATGTATTTATAAACTTTTTCTACACAATTAGGTGTACTGAGTATATATATGTATGTGTGGGTATATCATAACTGTGGAAGACTTAAGCGGGTTTCGCTGCTCACAATAGTCATCACCATCAGCTGTGATTCCCATTCTTCCCTACAGCAGATATAATAACACTGTCACTGGGAAGATGGAGTGAGACAGGGAGACAGCATCTGTGTGTAGAAGGAAGCTGCCACAGGAAAGAAGGTAAGAAAGATGGAAAGACAGAGTAAAAGAGGAAGTGTGTGTAGAAGGAAGCTGTCAGTGAAACATAGGTGGAGTCAGATGGAGTAAGACAGGAAGACGGCATTTGTGTGTAGAAGGAAACATTCCAGCATATTTAAAGAAAGTGAAAAAGAGTATTCCACTTGAATAATAAAAAGACAGAATTAAGTGAAATGGATCATATCTAATGTACAATTAAGGTCAGACTCAAGTATCTATGCAAATGGATAATATTAGATGGAAGACAATACAGAGATAACAAACTAAATAGGGCAGGGGGAAAAGCATTTAATAATAAGAACATCTCTGTCATTGGATGCAAGGAAAAGAATTTTTTCATGCAGCCAGTTTTAACATATGGCTGTGAATCTTAGAAAATTTGTAAATTGCTAAACAAGCCAAAATGAATTTCCTAAAATTTCATACATGTGATTTTACATTGAAAAAAAAACGAACTTTGCCTGCAACAGGAACCTGGACAGTTTTGGATTCAGCAACAAAAGATGATTCTCTGTCCGCAACCAATTCTGGGAGCGGTGGAAGGCCAGTGAAGTCTAGTGTCCTGTCTGTGTCTGAAGCCATTGTGCTCCTTGCTTGTGAAAATTATGACACAGTTCAAGACTTTAAGACATCAAATATATGCACTGAATCAAGGAAAGCGCTTCAAAGCTGTTGAAAAATAGAGAAAAACCACTTCAGATGATATATATGTTTTCTGCAATCACATGTTTCCACTTACATCTACAGGTGGAGGCTAGACATGTTGGTTTTTAATTGCTCAGTTTTACAATCAATCAATCAGGTGCCATCTCCACAGTGAAGGTTGGCCGCAATGGATCTCCAACACGATGTGTAACTTGTCTTGGTTGTACACTCTCTCAGACTGCTATTTATCCATCTCTTGATATTGTCTTCCCACTTTTATTGTTGTTTACCTCTTGCTCTTTTGCCCTCAACCTTTCTCTCAGAATGGTTTTTAAAAGAGTGTTATGTCTTTTAATGAAAATATTCAAATTGCATTTTTGATTTCATTCAGTAATTTTTTCATTTGTAGTCTTTCCAGAACCTTTGCTGTTTCCATGAAATACGGCCTATTTTTGTTCTTCTTTATATCAAAATTTCCAGAGACTTAGATTTTATAGTTGCTCATCTATATATATAAAAATCAATGTTTGTGTGTTTGTTTATGAGCTATAGACTCGGAAACTACTGAACCGATTTAGCTGAAATTTTCAGGATATGTTTGTTTTGATACCGGATGTTTACCCATCATGGTTTGAAATTCAACCTGACATTTTTAGAGATAGATGACCACAATTTTTTGAAAAATCTTCGAAACTAATATTTCCATTTTTAGTGACATTTATTTATAGCCACGTTAGTAAATGCGCATGCGCCGTAGTCAGAACGCAAGACTTCCACCATTGGCCGGCGAGATACATACAGCTAATGCCTTCTCTAATAAATAGAGTAGGTCGTGGTACAGCAAACAAAACTATCTCTATATCTGTACAGGCAATGATTGCCACAATAACCATATTAGACACGATTTCTATTTTTTGTCTTTTCAAACAACCTTCGATGAGTTGGAGAGTAGCAGATGGACTGGAAAGGGGGGCATCAAGGACTAACTCGACGTCTGCACAGACAATGACTGCGACATTAACCGTGTTAGACACGTGCCATTTCTATTGTGCCGTTTCCATAATATATATGGAATATCTGTCTATAGGAAAACAATTGCCTGCGGTTTTGAGTTGTGTTATAATCGGGACACAGTAGTAGGAACACACATCTCAAATAGTTTTGTTCTCTTTTCGCTGTTCCGATGGAGTGGTTGCTTGGTCGAATGGTTAGAACACTGGGCCCCTGTGCGGGAGACCAGGATTCGAATCCGCAGCAGTTTTTTTCCCGGGGGCAAAATAAAATCCTCACCTGCACTGTCGTGGCGACAGCACTAGCCATGTGGCCCTTAATACTTTTTTAAAAAAAAGGGCTGGTATGTGGGTAAACCAGTTGATAATTAAATGTGACCATTTCACATACTTATGATTGCATTGTAAACTTTCCGACTGCATGGTTACGCTGACATTTCATAGCTTTCCATTTATTTTCATTTAGATTGAATTATTTCATCTGCGTTGGAATTTTAAGCTGTGCTGTTTACCATAGCGTTCACTTCCTAATTATGGTGTATTTTTCCTGTTTTCATTGCTTTTCAATTGGTTTTTTTTTCTCCCAACTACTTCGATGAGGGAAAAGAGTAGTCTGTGAATAGGGGGGGGGGGGGGGGGGGAGGCACTTCTTACTGAGAGAGCTTCAAGTCACAGTACTGCCTTACCCACTCAAAGTAGGTCAGCAGCTATAGTAGTAGTTGTGGTTGGGCTGGTTACACCGTAGCGCGAAGACCGCGGTAAGGTCTTTATGACGTTCTTCTGTCAGGGAGCGAAATTATACATCCTGACCTGACCAGTCCGTGGCGACAGCACTAGCCATGCAGCGCCAAATCTTCTGGCTCACGACTCCCTGTCTACTCCGATGGTAAAACAGATATCAGTGACATTTTTTTAGCTATTGTTTTGGTAGCCATGATAGTAGTTGTACTGGTACTTGAAGGGTGATGTTGTAAATATTACACTAGCCCCATTTACTACCTATTACAATTCCTGCTGCCCATTTTAGTCTGGATGGACAGGGATGTCAATGTCAGTTACCCACCAAAAAAAAAAAAAAACGCCAGGTGATGATTTTCAAATCCTTCAAAGAGGGAGAGAGCAGTAGTCGGTGGATGGGAGGGGGGGGGGGGGGGTGGGGGCGGTACTTGGTAATGTACTGAAATTGTTACTTATTAAAGAGATTAACATATGGATTTTAAAGTTCTCATTAGTTTAATTTGTTTATATTTTACTAACGCTACATTCACTATTCTAATTTTTTGAATACTTACTGTTATTTACAAGAAACAGTAGTAGCCTTTACTTCAAGTCTCTCTATAAAAATACAAACAGCTATATCATTGTGATAACCCAAATAAACCATTTTTGTACTGTGATAATAACCACATTGAAACGAACCACTAATATAAGAGACCACCAATTATATGGTGCGTAATCTAAAGTTGGAAAACCAGACTATCTCTATATCTGTGCAGAGAATGATTGCTACATTAACTATATTAGACACATGCGATTTCTATTGTCTTTCTTTTCCAAAAACATTTTAATGAGGGAGAGAGTAGTAGGTGGATTTAGTGGGGGTGGGGGAGATCAAAGACTATATATCTGAGCAGACAATGATTGCGACAATAACCATATTAGACATATGCAATTTCTATTTTCTTTCTTTTTCATTTAGCCAAACTATGCTACAGCAACGCGTGGCCGGGTACAGCTAGTTCATTGTATAAATTTCTGCACCATACAACAAGGCTGAATATACTTAACAGTTGATGATTTTCATTTCTAATGTGTTGGTAACCTATCTATCAATAATTTTCATTTTTTTAAAAACAGTTTTAGTTATTCCTAATCCAAGATAAATATTTTTCCAATAATATTCAGTGTAGACAATTCTCAACCTGTCTTTAGAAAAAAAAATTATGTACTGAAGTTGAAAAGGCTTGGCGATAACAAACATGCATGACATACTCCTCTTTTAATCTCTGTCTGTGTTGAGACAATACTGTTGTGTCTAACTATTGTTGCTATTGGTTCCTAATACAGGTGACTGATAATTCTGACATTCTTTCTATCTAATCCTGTATTCTGGAGACACGTAAAACATTTTTACTTTTGCACCTCTGTCGAAGGCCTTCTTGAAATCTATAAAACGTGCAAATACCTTTTTGAACCTCTATTTATTTTTCAGTCAGCATCTTTAGACAAATTATGGCTTCCCTTGTGCCACTATTTCTTACATCACTATATCAATGCTTCAAGTTGGGAAAATCATGTTATCAATACATTTGTTATTTTATCAGGACCTACATCTAGACGAAGATCAGCACGCATTTATACAATGGTCCTGTCTGCTTTTCACACACAAAAACACATTTATTTAGACAATGGCAGACAAATAAATGGGTGTATAGCCACACAAGAGAAATTATTGATGTTAGGGCGTGACATTAGACCTAAGGCATTGACTAGGTAGGGTGGTCGGTTCTTTGCTTGTCTTACCTTCCCATGGAAATTCACTGCAAAGAAGGTTGTCATGTTTTACTATAGTTAGTAATAGTATAGTGGCTGCACCTTTTGACTAACTAACTATATTAGTAACTGGGACAAGAATCCTTTAATTCCTGAGGACTGAACCTGTTTTGGCAAGCAAGCGGACTATGCACTGTTCCACCACTTACATAATACAAATATGTTTATATGTACCTGTTCCCAAAAACAAAACAAATGTTCAGGGTGTCACTTGGCTTGGTTCAGCATTTCTCCTACATGATTATTTGCTTTTCACTGGCACAGGAACGAAGCAAGTATGGGACCCGATTGCAGTAAAGTTGAAACTAAGTTTTAAACTTCGACTAGGGCTAAAACTTGCTAACTGTGTTTTGTCAGGCCTGCACTTCAATGTGTACCCTTAATGACGAAGTGGTGTCTCCGCTGCAACAGAGCAACTGTTGATGGAAAGTCGGCCACTGAGAATTGAGACGACAAAGCAACACTGCGACTAGCGCCCAGTGATAAGCTGGATGATAGTTAAAACTGAAACCCTAACTATTCTAACAAGAGTGGACCGCAGCTTGACAAACAAAACGAAACTACTTTATATGAGTTTATAATTTTAAGCATGTTATAATACGTTGAACTCACCGGTGTATGAACAGTCACATCGTGAAACGTTCTAATACCTCTGTTGAAAGTCATGCATGTAAAATGTCAGTCAACTACTGGCAGTTTATATAATAAAATTTCCAGAACTACTTGTCCATAAAACCTAGCCGATCTGACAAGCTGGCAAACGCACTATGGACTACTTGTCACCTTGGTCCAGTTTTTCCCCACAATCGTGTGTCAAATTGTTGGTGTTGTGATTCATTGTCGGCACTTGTGTCCTACCCTGGAGCCGATGACAACATATGTAGTGTAAAACCGACATCGTCTTATTGATAAAATGGCTGAATTAGAAAGAAAAGTTGAAGAACACACTTTTAGTATTCGACGGAAAAGTAAAGGAGAACCACGCTAAAAGTAGGCGGGGTTAACTGTTTAGGAGTAAGTTGAGTAACTGCAACTTTGTAGAGAGCACAGGCAATCATTAGCCCCGAAACCCGGAGTCTAAGGTACGTTGAGCTCATACCCCTAAAAATGCTTAAGGGGTGTGAGGTGGGGAGGGGGGGGGGAATTCGTGAACGTGTTAAGGTGCCCCTTTGCAACCTGTACAGAAGTTCTCTGTTTCAGTTTTATTTGTGTATACATTATTGGTTCAAACATACTATTATATGTATATGCCATTGAATATTATTATTATTATTATTAATATTATTATTATTATTATTATACACAAACAGTGAAGCACAACAAAAACATAGAAGTGTGACGAGATTCTCACTCACTGGTTTATTTGTGACGACT